GTGGGGTTTTATTTTGTTTGGCTCTCTTTGTGGGAACCGGGAATTGGTCCTCTTTGAACAAAGCAGCAATATATCATTGGTGGTTCTCTTGGGCTCAGATTGCTATGCAGATATCCGTTTTAGCAAAGCCTGCCCTTTCAGCCTTCTGGTTTGACGTCAGCAGTCTTTTCCTGGTTGTAGCTCAGCCGCCATTTTGGGTTGTAATTCAGCTGCCATTTTGTCCTACCCTGCCCATCCTGACAGATAAGACCAGAACTTAACATGAGGAATACTCAGGTTTATCAAATCTTAACATTATCATATTTGCTCCAGAAAAATTCTTTAAAGAAATAAAACATTGCAGGTGCAACTGAAATATCACCCTGATTTCGTTACCCCTCTCCCTAGAGAAACAAATTCACAAATTGAATGTTGATTGTTACCACCCACATTCTTTAACAGATTTATGTTATCTATGAACAATATATAATACTATTTGAGTTTTTTTTAATTTTACAAGAGCGGCTGTACCGATTAACATTTCCAGCAGCAGTGTGTCCTGAGCAATCTTGGTATCAGCAGGCTTACTCCCTACTCCACAGGTCTGTCTCAAGAACTGTACTCATGCCTGCAACACCTCTGTTCTGCATCATTTATCCCTCTCTAATGGATCATTTCCTATCAGCATACAAACATACTCTGGTATTTTTTATCTTAAAAACAAAACAAAAACACACCTCAACCTAATATCCCCTTCCAGCTATTGACACTTTTTGTTACTCTTCACTGCAAAGTTTCTTAAAAAAGGTTTTACTGTTTTCTTCATTTCACATTCTTCCCTCCACCCATTCCACTGATACCACGTAAAGTGTTTGATTACTTCCACATTATCTTGACCTTGCAGATGACAGTCAACACAATACTCCCTCCTTTTGGAGAAGTCTTCCCTTAGCTTCTGTGACATTGCCCTCCTATATCCCTGACATTTTATTTTCAATTCTCCTTTGCTCTGGGTATGTTCCTCAACTTAACTTCTAAAAGCTGGATTAACCTCAGAGCCCTCTCCTAGGCTCCTTTCTTGTCAACTGCATGGCAGGAGATGCTACTTGGCCACTGAATTCATTCTTCCCTTTTGGCTACCGCCTGGAACAAAACTGGCTAGCTACTCTTCATTTCCCAGAAGCCTCTGCAATTATCCATGACCACATGACAAGGCTCTCACAACAGAATGTAAATAAAATTGGTATGTGCCATTTTCTGGCCAAAGCTTGTCTTTCCTTTATACTTCTTCCTCTCACCATGCCTAGGTCAGAGGACTGAGAACAGTCAGAAGAGGCTACCACCTACCTTTGATAAAACAGACCACAACCCAAGTACAAGAGAAATAACAATATGGGAGGAAAATTATCTTTGAATAATTATGAAGCAAAGCCACCTGATGACCAGGAATATAGAATGTTACACAGAGAGAAATAAAGGTTTGTCTTGTTTGAGCCATTATTCTTTCATGTTTCTCTGCTATGGAAGCTTAGCCTTTCAACCTAACTCATGTGTGTACTCCCTGGGTGATAGTCCCTTGTCTTTAATGATCATTTATGCAAAGTACTTCTAAATTCAGATCCAGATCTCGAGCTCTGACCTCCTTCCAGAACTACAGACTTGCATGTCCAACTGCTTCCTTAACATATCCACACGGATGTCCAAAAGTTAACCGCAAACCAACAACTGCCAAAACAGAATTTCTGATTCTTCCTATCTTGAGCTCTAAGCCCAAAGCTTTCTCAGTTTTTCTTTACTCCAATCACCATTCAAGTTATGCTGTCTCTACCTCTAAAACATACCCCATTGTCCTCTCCAAGTCAGTCCAGCCTCCTTTCAGTTTCCAGAACACTCAGCTCATTCCTGCCTCAGGCCATTTGTACTACCAGATCTCTCTGGGTTGAAGGCAGTTCCTTTTATCTTGTTAGCGCTGGCTCTCTGACCTCATTCAGGTCTCAGATTCCATCTTCTTAGGCTGTTCCTTGGTGATCTGCTCTCATATTGCTATTTAAATTCCCTGCAACTTATTGCTAGCTGATATTTCTTTTTTTATTTACTTATTCAATAAACATTTACTAAATTCCAAACCATATTCTAGGCACTGACCTAGACATAGATATAGCTATTAAAAAAAAGTGAGCTTCCATCCTAATATGTATAGCAGATGGTGATAAATGCTAGAGAAAAAATAAAGAGGCCTCTTGCCTAAGAGGATGGGAGTGTAGGCACCAGGGACTACAATCTTAAGTAGGATGGCCAAAGAAAGTTTCACTAAGAGGCCAATTGATCAAAAACCTGAAAGAGTCCTGACTTGTGTAGCTCAGTGGGTTGGGCATTGTGCTGCAAACAGAAAGGTCACTGGTTCAATTCCTGGTCAGGGTACATGCCTGGGTTGCTGTCCCTGGTTGGGGATATGCAAGAGGCCACTGATCAATGTTTCTCTCCTCTTTCTCTCTCTCTTCCCCTTTCTCTAAAAATAAATGAATAAAATATTTTAAAAATAAAACAAAACAAAAAACAACCCTGAAAGAGATGAGCAAGCAGAATAGGTAGGTATCTGTAAGAAGAGGTTTCCAGGCAGAGAACAAAAGCACAAAGGCACTGATGTGGGAATATATTTGACAACAAGGAGGGCAATATAAATGGAAGAGTGATAGAAGAGAGCAGGAGGTGAATGCAGAGAGGAAATGGGACCTAGATTACCGAGGGCCACGTATACAGGAAGCCATTGGAAGAACATGAACAGAGGTATTTTGAAAATGTACCATATGGGTCAAGGATGAAAGAAGGGAAACCAAACTGTAAGCAAAATCATGCTGCTTCTTCAATTTTCATAAAGCCAGCTTCCTCTTGACATTTAACCTTAAGTCAGAATGGCATCCTCTCAGAGGACTCCCTTACCCACCTGATCTAAAGAGAGGTGATTCCCTAGGGATGGTGAGTAGCTGAATTTGCAGGTGTTCCAGCATAGACCTAACAGCTTTGCAGGATCAGATACAGAGGAGTGAAAGAGACTACCAGGAATGTTCTGAAGTTTTAGCCCGAGCAATTAAAAAGCCAGAAATGAAATTTATTGAAATGGGAAAAGCTGATGAACATTTGGGAGAACTAAATCTGAAATTAGATTTTAGATAGTCAGTTAAGGACTTATCTATTTGATAGTCTACTATATCTACCAATAGAATGAAGTATCCATTAACAGATTATTTATTAGATATTTAATAGGTGTAAAGTGGGCCAACAATGCGATATGCCAGTCTGGATTCAAGGGAGATAATACAAGCTGGAGATGTAAACTTGGGAATCATAAGCATATGGGTAGTACTTAAAAATGGTATTTAAATACTGGACGGATCCCTAAATAAGACCACCTCTAGTTTCCACTCTCATCACAGTATCCAAAAAGAATCTAGAATAATCTTTTAAAAACAAAATATTGAATCACTCTTCTTTAATATTGTCTCTGCACTTGGAATAAAACCTACCATGGCCTATAAAGTTCTGAATCATCTGACTCATCTACCTCTCTAGGCCTGAGTTGCATGACTTTTTTCTTTCTTGAAGGGCACCACATTTTCTTGCCTCCCCCCACCTTTGGACAGGATCTTCTATGCTCTTCCCTGACGTCTATATGTTACCTCCTCCTGACCCTGAAGCTCTAAATTTCAAGGTCATCTGCTGAGGCCTTTCTGTAACATCCAACCTAAATGTTTCCTCTGTCAAGTCACCTCTTTCAAAACACCTTCCTTGACTGACAGAGATCAAGACTGATTTACTGTGTGTCTGCTCCAGCAGACAGTAAACACAGTAAGCTCCACTGATGCAAGGACTTTGTCTTATTCAGAGCACTCTATGCTGAGAGCCTAGCACAGTGCCTGGCAAAGAGCAGACTTCAAAAGTATTCCTTGAATAAATCCAGACAACAGTCTGTTGTGCAACATGCAGTTTGTCTCATTATACACAGAATAATGACAAAAAAACCCACTTCAAAACTGTCAAACAAATTAGGCAGTTCTGGGTTTCATCCACTCAGCAGTTTTCACTCACTCACCAAACTCTGTATGTACTTTAAAGGAATTCTTTAATTTATAGTCATAGTTTAATGGAGCCTTTAGGGAAAACTGAATCCTCAGCTGAGAGGACAGCAAAGTTGGTGCACACTCTGCTGTTCTAGGTTACCCAGTGGCGGAGCTGTCATGTAAACCCAAGTCCCTGATTTATTATAGTTTTTGCAAAACCAGTTTTTGTCTGGTACTTTTCTCTGAAGCAGCAAGAAGTGATACAAGACCACTATCGTCCCAAAAGACACTGTTCACTTGGTGTAGGTATTTTTTAATGAAATGCAACAATCCACTACACACATACACACAAAATCATGCTGTCTCTACCTAAAAACTGGGCAGCTGTTATTGAAATTGAACATCAGAAATATGAGTAGTGTTTACAAACGTAGCGTTCCAGTAGTTAGTAAACTTAAGTCATCAAAAGTAGTCTTCTTCATTAGGGACCATTTAACAGTAAGTAATCTGATTTTTAGGAACAGCACAACTCCTCTTCCCCCCCAAAAAGGAAAACTGAAAAGTAGCACTAGGTGAAGAAAACAATTTTTCCCGTGTTGCTTTTAAACAGAAGACCCTCAAAATTCTGAAAAGCCAGAACATTTCGCAACAAGGTACTAAAAAAAACTTCCTTTGGCTTGATTCACAGTGTACACACACCCCCCACCCCGAAAAGCGATGCCTACGCAAACAGGCATTAATTCGTAAACGCTTCACCAAACGATTTTGGGCCACTGGACAATCCCTCCAATGACCTCGCGTGAGGAAGCCGCCTTCTCCCTCCCTGCAGAATCGAGGAGCAGAGTGAGGCACGCGAGGCCCCTTTGCCTCACCGCCGCCCTGTTGGAGGCCCTTGTAGGCCCTCGCAGGCCCACCACTGCCCCTGAGGCCCGGCAGGCTCCCCGCCGGCGCCCCCTCTGCTACCTTTCCGCCGGAAGAAGGACATGGCAGGGCCCGGGTCGGGTCGGAGGGCGCGGGGGGACTGTCGCGGGGAGGGCCCGGCTCCCCTCATTCAGCAACAGGCCCGGACGTCCGGGTCCGCAGAGGCTGCCGCACTAGCCCGAAAAGAGACCCTTCCTCCAGTTGTGGGCCCCACAGCCTACTCGAGATGCCCAGGAAGACCCTGCCGCCATATTATCAACAAGCCGCCTGCCCAGAGTTCCGGTCCTTCCCCGCGCGAGGCTTCACGGGAGGCCGCGCCGCGGGCCCCGCCCCCGTCCCCGGGTGGTGAGGCGCGCGCTTCTACCCGCGCCGCGCGCGTGACCCTGTACCTGTGCAGCCTACGCCACTACCCAGTAACTTAGGACCCTAGCCGCAGCTTTGCGGTGACTGGCGCTGGCCCTCGGTGGAGTGGTGTAGGCCAAGTTCCTGCAGGAATAACCCTCCCGGCGCGTGAGCCTCGAGCTGGGTTGGCGTGCTGCCTTAGGATCGGCCATTCGGCTGGGGACAGGGTCCAGAGCTTACCTTTTTAAAAGGGCAGGGCTAGGACCTCTGCGCTCCGGCCAGCCCCTCCCGTTTCTTTGTTCGAGTTTGACTAAAAGGCCCTTGCGGACTAGAGCACCCTTACGGTGCACCGCCTTCCCGTGCTCTTGCAGGGAAGCCGGCACCCCCACCCTCATCCCGGCTGCGGGTTGAAGGCGACCGGGGTCCCCGGGTGGAGACTAAGAGGCATAACCTGTTATGCGACTGCACTGGCTCCCTCCATCAATGACCCTAGCAATGAAAAAGGATTGGACTTGTTTGCAGAACGCAAGCCCTGCGAATGCTCAGGTTCGAGAGGCACATAAAAGCCTCGCCGATATTTACCGAGCAAACTCCAGTGAATTATCCTTCAAGCCTTGTTCAAATGCCATTTTCCTGTGAATCTGATGACAGTCTATATGCCCCTAAACCAGAGGGAAACAAGCGTCCCCACTTTTACTGCTCCTTACCACCCCATGACAATGCCTAGGGACCAAGTGATGATCGTATCCTTAAGCTCCTGCTGCCAAGGAGCCTGGAAGATCACAGCAAATAGATAAAGGCAGACTGGGTTTTTAAAATCTATGAAGTTCATCAGGTGACAGACAAGGAAACTGAGGTCCAGAGATAAGAGGCAACTTGTCAACATTATTCAGTGTGTCAGCGTTGAGACTAACTACAGCTGGGTCTCTTTTCACCACATAATTAGAGCAAATTAATTGATTTGTCTATTTTGGTTTTGTTACCAAACTCAAGGGGTTCGCCTCTTGGGGTGCTCTGTTCAAAAACGAGCTGTGTCTGTCACAAGGTAATTTTTGTTACCAGCAAGAAGTCGGTTCTTGTCTTCTTGAAGGAAAGACTTCAATCAAGAGGCAAAGTGCAGCGAAGCAGGCAAGGATGTTTTGGTGGCCCACTCAGAAGGGACTGCGTGGGCACCTCGGAGTGTGAGTGCCTTCTCAGTTGCCATGCTCAAGTGTTCGTGGGCTCTTTTTCCTGGACTTCTGCTTCTGACCTTTCAGCGCCCCCTGTCACTTGTCTGCCCACGTGGTGTGTGACTGGAACTGGTGGTCTATGTGGCTGAACAATGTGCTGAGATTCAATCAGAAATTTGATAACCACAAGTCTGGTGTGGTGAGGCACATCCGGTTTAGATTTGCCTTAGGCTCTGTAGACATGCAGGAATGCACTTGGATAATCTATTCTCTTTTCCTTTCTTTGACTTCCCTGGCTCAGGTCTAACGAGCTACTTATCTTAGCCGTTTTGCTTCCTTGTAGCAAGTAAGGGAGACAGGATTTATATCCGAAGCTCTGTCTCCCTGAAGGGAAACTTAGCTGTTGCCTCTATATACTATGTGCTGAAATCCATGCTGATTTCTTCTTGGCACTTGGCTATGCTTACCATGTTGGACCCCTGTCGATATTATCCTCTTTACAGCTGGTCTTCAAAATACTATGCCACATTTTACATTTTTACATTTAGCAAGAATGGCCCAGACCTTGAGATCTTTGTCCTATCTAACAATTTGTGGCATTTAAGGTACTCACAGTTGATATTTATTGAAAGTTTACTATGCACAAGTACTGTACTAACCCCTCCAGATTAAGGACAGTCTTTGGAGTCAGTCTTGCTATGGAGAAAATTAGGCACATAAAAATGACCTGCCCAGTGCCCTGGTCAGTGTGGCTCTGTTGGTTGGAGCATCACCCGTAACTAGAAGGTCATGGACTGAGTTCCGGGTCAGGGCACATGCCCAAGTTACAGCTCCTATCCTGAGTCCAGGCCCAGGTGCCTATAATCCCCTTTCTGGGCATGTGCCAGAGGCAACCAATTGATGCTTCTCTCTCACATGAATGTTCCTCTCTCTCCCTTCCCCTCTCTCTAAAAACAATGAAAAAATGTCCTTGGGTGAGGATACAAATAATAATAATAAAATAACCTGCCCAAGGTCACAAGCTAGAGAATGGGCTTCCAGAACCCAAGGTCAAGCCTCTCCTTGGGCAAGGGGAGTGTGTCTCAGCAGGAGCAAGAGACACTGACCAAGGCTCTCCTTGCCCCACTATATCCTCAACCTGAACTGGTGCTGAGAATGGATGTCTGTTTGGCTGTGTCCTCCAGGCCTCAGGAGATGTAGCAGAGGGTTCTGAATGGTGCCCCAGGGGTCAGAGAAGTCCCTGGAAACCAGCCTCTGCTCAGGAGCAACCACTCTGCTGTTCGTGACCAATAAAACCACAGATCATTGCCCACTTCCCCTCTCCAACCAAAATGAAGGCTTGCAATGAAGTCAAGGAGGAGCAGGGTGGGGGTGCTAAGTGGGATTTCTCTGCCAGGCCAGTGTAAAGGGAAAAGGGCTATAAGCACAGGCAGTTAGATGCTCTAAGCCAAAAAATGTGGTGCCCTTCTCTCTCTTATTCATTTCAGGAATCCAGCCCTTTGGCAGACACTGTTTCGTATTTGTTGGGAGGGGAGAGTGTAAGAAATGCCCTGAAAATTCTGGGATAGGAGCAGTGAACTAGGGGTATGGAAGGAGCACTCCAGTTTCTCTAAACCTTCTCGAGTTCTTCCTCATTCTCTCCAACTAGGTGTAAAATCAATGTAATAGCAGTGTGCTACCCACCTTCCAATGTGATTGCTGCCCTGGAGGCCTGGAAGAATTCTGGAGCTGCCTTTGTCACCCCAGGCAGCCAACGACTTCCCAGTAAGGCACTAACAGCCTCCACTGTTTATGAAATACTTGTCATGTGCTCTCCCTGTATCACGTACTTTATAATCACAGCCTCATTTAATTCTTTCTCCCCTATGAAAGACCCTAGAGATAGCTACCATCATTACCCTCAAATCTCAGGTGATGACCCCAAGGCCCTGAGTGATTTATCCAGGATCCCAAGACTAGTAAGGGACTCAGACAGGATTTCAATCACAGTCTGACTCCATAGCCATTTCCTCACAGCTTTCCCTCCACCTCCAGCTAATTCCCATTTACCCAGTGTTCCAACATGGGGGATCTATTTATTGGGCAAATATAAGGGAATGAGTGATAACTAGCTGTGCATGTGCCTTCTGAATCATCATCCATTAAAGTGTGTGTATACTTGGGAAGCTTTAAGAGTTTGGTCACTTAATCTTCTGAAATTTGGTGATCCACATATGAATAATGTTGAAATAAAACAAGAATACTCCATTAGCCTGAATACCTAGTTGTGGCAAACTAATACTCTACATTGCATTTCCAAGTTAATTTGTAAGAGTCACTTTAATTTACATGTAAAACAAAATACACTTTTACAAGAAGGAGTATCTTTAATTATGTTCCCGATTTTAAGGGAATCCTCAGTCTTTTTATACGAATTGTATCAATAACAACAAACCAGTGAGGTAAAATCAGCAAGTCAATGATCACAAAACCAATTAATAAAGTTAATCTGCCCTGGCTGGTGTAGCTCAGTGGATTGATCGAGGACCTGCGAACCAAAGGATCACAGTTCGATACCCAGTCAGGGCACATGCCTGGGTTGCAAGCCAGTTCCCAGCAGGGGACACATGAGAGGCAATCTTACATTGATATTTCTCTCCCTCTCTTCCTCTCTAAAGATAAATAAATAATAAAATCTTTAAAATATATATTTAAAAATAAATAGATAAATAAAGTTAATCTGTGGCCCTGGCTGGTATGACTCAGTGGATTGAGCACCAGACTGAAAATCAAGGGGTTGCCAGTTAAATTACCAGTCAGGTCACATGTGTGAGTTGTAAGCCAGGTCTCCAATAGTGGGTATGTGAGAGGTAAACCACACATTGATATTTCTCTCCCTCTCTTTCTCCTTCCCTATCTCTAAAAATAAATAACTAAAATCTTAAAAAGGTAAAAATAAAGTTAATCTATGACAAACGGATTACAAGTCTAATGAACTGTCTTCTACTACAAACATTCTAACATGTAATTTCTATATCAATCATTCATAACCTCAAAGAGACTATTCAAACCTTTTTATAAAACAGATAACACAGTTTTATGATGAGAGAAAATCTATACAGGGTAGGTGAAAGTAGGTTTACAGCTGTGAGCATGCGAAACACAGTTTATTGTATTATTATTTAGTATTTTTTTCGGGGTCTTTCTTTTTTTTAATTTTTATTTTATTGATTATGCCATTACAGTTGTCCTATTCCCCCCTTCATCCCCCTCCATCCTGCACCCCCACCCCTACCATTCCCCCCTTTAGTTTATGACCATGTGTCTCAAGTTCTTTAGATTCTATATTTCCCATACTATTCTTGCCCTCCCCCATCTATTTTCTACCTACCATCTATGCTACTTATTCTCTGTACCTTCTCCCCCCTTCTCCTTCTCCCACTCCCCTGTTGCTAACCCTCCTTGTGATCTCCATTTCTATGGTTCTGCTCCTGATCTAGCAGTCTGTTTAGTTTGCTTTTGTTTTAGGTGTGGTTGTTAATAACTGTGAGTTTGCTGTCCTTTCACTGTTCATCTTTTTTATCTTCTTTTTCTTAGATAAGTCCCTTTAACATTTCATATAATAAGGGCTTGGTGATGATGAACTCCTTCAACTTGACCTTATCTGAGAAGCACTTTATCTGCCCTTTCATTCTAAATGAAAGCTTTGCTGGATAGAGCAATCTTGGATGTAGGTCTTTGGATTTCATGACTTGGAATACTTCTTTCCAACCCCTTCTTGCCTATA